AGCAAGAAGCAAGCCTATTTAAAAGGCCTCATAAAGGAAACGAGATTGAAGAGGTCGTTTAGGTGGAACTTAATGACACAGCGCCACGGTCTAAGATTTCGAAAGTGAATGTTTGGTCCGCAAATGCACAATACGCAAGAGATGAGGACTAGGAGCAGCAGTAGAATCATTGCTAGACGAAATGAGAACATGGGTGCAATGTGGGTCGGGGGCACTATGTATGTATCTATGTGATGGAAGTTCCTCGAGGGCAGATCACGATCCTGCTTTCCTGATCTGCCAACTAAGATTCTGAACGGGAACACTAAAGTATTTCCTACGGATTTCTTCACAATCAAGAATCAGCTTCAGCGGAGTCAGCATCTGGAACAAGCCGTTCGCATGCGTTTGGTCATGGGCTGGAGCTTCGAGCAGCAGGCTTTCAGTACTCAGCGGTCCGAGTTATCTCAGATCTCCTTTCCTTGCATTTTTGTGGCCACTTGGCGGTAGTGTACTATGATTCCCCATCATTGCTCACCGTAGTTTGCTTTTTGATGAGCTTGATATCATTCGCTCTGAGATTTCCACTACCTTGCAAGCCGCCGTAGCGCACCTGTAAGCCGCGCAAAACGGATTTGATGTCCATGCTACAAGTCAAGGAGCCGGGTGTCCCCCAAGAGGCCCATCGCGCGGCGAAGGAAGAGACGCAGACGCGGCAAAGGACGAGTCGCAGCGCATACTGTAGCGGTTAGGCGTCAGGTTAAATAGAGTGTACCATACTACGTCTCATATCGCACAGCACGCGCTGCGACTCGTCCTTTGCCGCATCTGCGTCTCTTCCTTCGCCGCGCGATGGGCCTCTTGGGGGACACCCACAAGGAGCCTCTGTGCAATATTCCAAAGTGATACCATGTGAATATTGAAATCATGAGATAAAGAAGGCTAAACGCCACTTTCCGTCTTAAGAGACATGGCTGAAATTTAATTCACTTTAAGACAGGTACCAAGGCTTCCGAAAATGTCAGTTTAGGCCGATGTCATAGTTTGCGAATCGAGCGATTCGCTAGCGAATCGCTGGATCCGAGCGTTGCGCCAGCGAATCGAACGTTGCACCAGCGAATCGAACTTTGCGCCAGCGAGTCGAACGATGTACCAGCGAGTCGAACTAGGTACCAGCGACTCAATAGTGGCGGGACCCAACGTGGTCAAAGGAAGCC